AAGCTAGTCTTCGACACAACAGTGTTGGAAGGTGTTTATGTCGCTATAACAAAGGCTGCAGAAATGAATTCTTTCTCTTCTGCCACTCAGGGACCCGGTGTTCACCCCTTTGTCCTGCCACCCTCTGCTGCATGAGGGTGAGGTAAGCAGGCCCTCACCACATGTTGGCACGTGATCTTGGGGGAAAAGATTAAAGCTGCTGTTTGAGTTCAGAACTTCTAATAAGGGTACAGTAATTGAAACAGGGTGGTACTGGCATGGACAGTGACAGACAGATCAGTGGACTAGAACAGAATCCATAAACAGACCTACACATACATAGACAAATGATTTCTGACAAGGTGTAAAAGTGATTCAGTGGAAAAAGATAGTCCCATCGGCAATGGCTCTGGGACAACTGATATCAGTGTGCAAACGCAATTCATGTCCACCCATTCCTCTCACCATACACAAGTATGAGTGCAAACTAAATCAGGGACACGAAAATATAAACATGTTAATGCCATCAAACTCTATGCTTAAAACGGCTAAAATAGTAAACTGTATATGTATATTGTACATTTTACCGCAAAAGACTGGCATTTGTAAAAGTATTTACAAGTATTTATAAAATCTCCATTCATGCTATTCTTGTGCTGATACTTGTACAGTGTAGCAGAATAAGAGACAGTTTTTGCAATTCATTCTTTAAAATTCCTGGACTTTTTAGTGTCTACAAAATTTTTTCTTAGAAATACAGGATGTTCCCTTTTTAAAAATTAAAACATTTGCTATTAACTTTTTATGGAATTAGTCATGTAATGCCATTTGTATTTGCTGAAATTTTGTATTATTGGTAGAGCACAAAAGTCAACATTTTGTTAGTAAAAAACATTCTATTGGAGGCAGCTCTGATAATAAATGGTTTTCAGAAAACTTTTTAAAGGATCAAAACAACGAAACCTAAAACCTAAAACTAAAACTTCCAAAGGAAAACATAGGAGAGGGTGCTGGGGATTTAGCTCAGCAGCAAAAGCGCCTGCCTGGCAAGCGCAAGGTCCTGAGCTCGGTTCCTGGTACCGGAGAAAAACAAAAAAAAAAAAGGAGAAATTCTCTGTGACCTTGTATTAGGCAAAGATTTCTTAGCTATTACACCAAAAGCATGGTCTGTAAAATAAAAATTGATAAATTTGATTTCATGGGAAGTAAAATCTTCAAAATAGAAATTTTGAAAGCTGTAATAAATAGATATAACAATCACCGAATATTACCAGTACCATAAATAGTAGCCAGATATTATGTGCATTCTGAAGGAGTATACCTAGGTACACTGCCTGTGAGGTATTCTTGCTCAAAAGAATTGCACTTACATCTGATCAAACTCCTGAGTGTAACTAC